TCCTCGGGCCGCAGCCCAGGCGCCGCAACTTACAGCTCGCTTGGGCCTCCTCGGGTTAGGCTTTGTTGTGCGTCCTCCTCCCTTTTTCTCGTGGGGTGTGTGGCCGACTTGGGTAACGGGGCTCACGGAGCCCCGAGCGGGAAGGTCGCTGCGACCGTGCTGCAGCGGCGGCGGCGCGGCGCGCGCCAGGGGGACCGGGATCTGCTGCAGCCGCGTCCACACACCCTACTTAAGGGCGCGTTTTGGTGCGGAAGGAGGCTGCTGGTGATGCCTTGGCTACAAGTGCCCGCCGAGGGGTCCTGCCCCTCACTGCGACCTGGTCACCGCCCAGCAGCCCTCTCTGGAGGACATGTCCTGCCAAAGCCAGTCGATCTTTGAGCAATAGGGGTGTTAATCCGTTTGCCTGTCCCTGTCCCTTTCAAGGAAAATTGGGGGTTTGCCGCGTTGGGTGTGTGAAGAGAGCTGTTTGTAACGCACAGCCATTTCATGCCTGCATCACTTAAAAGTTGTGTAGGAGCCGCCAAATTAGGATAAATCGGCCCCTAAATTGTGATATAAAAAATAAGGCTTGGGTTGCCTGTGACAAGTTATCTGACGTTGACGGTTCTTTCACACACTTTAATCTTAATTGAATTTTGAACCCCCCCATGAGAAGCTGCAAGTTATATGGACCATTTATCCAGAAAAAACCGCCATATGTACTTTCACAAAGATTTTCCTACAACTTTAGGAGCTTCTAGGACTCCTATTAAGTAACCTTGTTACACAAAATGAACTCTACTTGTGTAACTGACATTTTGGTATACATTTTCAAAAGCTGTTTGAGAAACAAAAAAGCAGAAGCATTTGGAAGTGGTTTTTTGTTGTTAGTATTTTTGCTATTTAAAAAATATCAGGCACAAACTCAGATTTCTATTAAAATTTCAAATAATGCAATTCTGTGATAGTTTAGAAATTTGTGATGTCGGGTGTTTTTTAGACATATATAATTTTGTCATCTTTAAGGTGTAATTGACAAATAGAAATTGTATTGATAGATACATTTAATATGTGCAACTTGGTTTTGATACACACACACACACACAAACACACACACACACACACACACACACATTGTGAAATGATCTCCACAATCAAACTAGTTGACATATCCATCACCTCATAGTTACCGTTTTTTTGTGCGTGTGTTTGGTGAGAAAACTTTAAGGTCTACCCTCCTAACGCATTTCAAGCATACAATACAGTATTGTTAACTGTAGTAGCATACTGTATGTTAGATCTAGACATAAAAATTTTAAAATCCAGAGTTAGATTTGAAATCATTCTCTTAAATTTGGTCCTACAACACTTTTAGAAATAATAGAATTGAACATAGGCCTGAGTTTAGTAAAAAAATCATATAAGTAGGAAATTATTTTCTCTGAAATGTATACCATTTGTCCTAAGAAGAGGAGATGGCACTTGAGAGGTTTTTGATGCTCACTGGGTGCTTACAAACTCTGCAATCAAAGTAACTTCAGTGAATGAGAAGGTACTTCATTATCCCTAGAGGCTGGAGGGAATGGTTTCAGTTTATCTGTACATGTCAGAAGCCATCTGTAATGTCTTTGTAACCTAACCTCTTAAACTATATTTGTAATAATAACATGTTTGAAGGCTTAATATCCCCCAAGCATTGTATCCATTTTTCCATTGTTTTCTATGAAGAAGAAAACATCATAGTGCTTAGAAATTTTTAATTAACTGAAGGAAGGACTTTGAGGTTATATTGCACCCTCTAAACCTTTGTTGTGACAAAGAATATAGTGGAAGAAGATACTTTATAAATACTACCCAATTTTAATAAATTTGGACAGTATATCTTTACAACAAATATATTTTATCTAACCTTTGACAGTGATAAACCTTTGGTAAGTCAGGACATGCCTTTCCAATAAAAATTTTTTTTCAGCTATATGCTGAGAATAGATTACTTTTACAGAATAGTGATATA